GATGTCTCTAATTTGTACTTACTAGGGTTTGGCTTTCCAGCCCTTAAGCTAACTAACAGGGGGTGATCTCTTATGTGGATCACTTGTGGGGCTTCAAGAGAGTGAATTTTCTAAAATAAGGGTTTTTTTAAACTATAAATTTACATTTTTCCTACTGTAAAATGGGTTTTCAATGAAGCTGAGCAGGCATTAGGTAGCAGCAAAGATGGCAGCCTGAGAATTTAAAGACCTACCCTCACAGCATGTATTATCAAGTATCAACCTGAACAGCTAGTGTTTAGTAGTAGATTCAGTTAATTTTTAAGAACCTATGTGGAAAAAACAGTCATGTATGCTGTAATTGCCTGTTACCTTTGGATGACTGCTTTTATTCTTCAGTGCAGTGCCTCTTATCTGACTTAATGCTCCTAGGCAAAGGTGGTCTCAAAATAAGTCCTGGAAACTGTTTCAGTGCTCTACATATATCAAGATTTAATTATCAAAATTCAGGAATATAAACTAACTTGTCTTAACTACTGTAAAGACTCTTCTGATTTTTGTTCATATTCCAAACTTTGAACCAAGAGCTTGTTTCAGGACTGAGCCCTCCCTTAGCTTTAATGTACAGCTTTTGGTTTTCCTCTGCCTACCTGCAATACGTTACTTTCTTTTTGAGTTGCAGATGCCCAAAATAATAGCTCATGAATAACCTAACACTTGGGCTAACTCACGGGATGAAAATTTTGTTCAGGGCAGCCTTAAACTTCTATATCAGCCTGAAGGGAAGTGCAGCCCTGAAACTGAGCTGATACAGCTTCTGTTCAGACCTGTGACACTTGACATAGAATCATAGAATCATAGAATCCTTTAGGTTGGAAGGGACCTCCAAGATCATCAAGTCCAACCATTGAGCCATTATGGCTCTAAAGTCCTCTGCTAAAACAGATCAGAATCTGTCACGGTTGGAAGGGACCACAAGGATCACCCAGTTCCAACCCCTCTGCCATGAGCAGGGACACCTCCCAGTAGACCAGGCTGCCCAGAGCCTCATCCAGCCTGGCCTTGAGGCCCCATCCCTGGGGGTCTTTAACCACCTCCCTGGGCAACCCATTCCAGGGTCTCACCACTCTCATGGTGAAGAACTTCTTCCTCACGTCCAGCCTGAATCTGCCCACCCCCATGCCCCCTAGTCCTGTTGTTACTCGATAGCCTAAAAAGTCCCTCCCCAGCTTTCTTGTAGGATACTGATTGTGGCCTTCCAGTATCCCCCTAAGATACTGGAAGGCCACAATATGATCACCTCGGAGCCTTCTCTTCTCCAGACTGAACAGCCCCAACTCTCTCAGTCTGTCCCCATAGGAGAGCTGCTCCAGCCCTCGGATCATTCTCGTGGCCCTTCTCTGGACACGCTCCAGCAGGTCCACGTCCCTCTTGTAATGGGGGCTCCAGAACTGGATGCAGTACTCCAGGTGGGGTCTCACCAGAGCAGAGGAGAGGGGGAGAATCACCTCCCTCAACCTGCTGGCCACACTTCTCTTGCTGCAGCCCAGGATCTGGTTGGCTTTCTGGTCTGCAAGTGCACACTGCCGGCTCATGTTGAGCTTCTGACATGAGATGACTCATCTTTGTCCTTCATTCTAGATATCCATGTCTTGAAGGACCAATGCAGCTTTTCCTCGCTGATGATGGGAGGCTTATTGCATAATCATCTTGCTATTAGCATCTTTTGTATTCAGGGAAGGAACTTTGGCTTTAACACTAGAGCAGGCTTGATGTTCAGGCATGTAATTCACATCTGCAAAACCAGCAAAACAATGCATCACTTTAAGAGCTGCAGTTTGCTTTGTAGGAACTTAGATTTAGAAGATTTAAAACTTGGAATATTACTCCTTAAGTATTTCTGCTGAATAAATACTTGATATCAGCTGTTTGATGGTAGCTGTTAAGCAGAGGCTTACACCTGTTCTCCTAATGGTGGATTCTAAATAGTTTGAAGCTTAGGTTTCTGAAGTTGTGTAAAGCTGTTGTTGTAACAATCTTTCTTTTTTGTGTTTCTATGGCATGTCTTTGGTTCTGGCTGAAAATGTTTTTGGTTTCAAAAGGACCTTAGTTAGATTGCAGCCTGCATTCTAGTTATGAAATTGGATGGTATTTATACCATTTCTACCAAATTGTGGGGTTACGCTACTAGCAGACAGTCTTGAGCGAGGTTTTTCAGGGTCAGTAGGGCCTAATGCTGTTCAATCTTCATAAACTATCTGACTGATGGGCTTGAGTACATAGTCGTAGTTTGAGAAAGGTATCAAACTGGGAGAAGTAGATATAACAGGATGAGGAGCCACCATGGAGACACAGACAGGTGGAAAGATTGGATCATCGAGTATGACATCAGGTTTTGCAGATGTTAAGGCCATCTCTTGGAATGAATGAATTCCAAGTAATGGTTCATGCTGTGGTATAACTGGCTGCGTGATGGCTTTGCTGAGAAGGATGTTGAAGTCCTAGTGGACAGCAAGCTGAGTATAAGCCAGCAATGTGCCCTGCAGCAGAAAGGGAAACGGTGTCCTGGACTTGCATCAGCAAGAGCATAGCCAGTGGATGCGAGTATTGCACTTCACCTTGTACTTTCAAAGCCACACCTAGGACTGCTGTGTCTCTCTTTGGTCCCTCAGTTGAAGAAAACTGGAGAACTGTGGAGGCCCCAGTGGATGCTTTTGAAAGTGATTAGGTCAGAGAAGGCAAACCATAAAGAAAGCTTGAAGGAATTCTTTCTTCAACTTAGAGGAGAAGAAAATTGGGAGAGACTGCTTTTCAGATCCTATATATAGCAAAACAGCTTAATGCTCTCAAAGGAGATACTCTAAAGGGAGAATTGAGCTGTGTTTATGGACAGAGTTGTAAAGTTCGTCTCTGACTTAAAATACTTAATTGTGTAGGTAGGCCTTGCTGTGATTCTATTGCTGTGCTCCAGCCAAAACTTCTAGAGTGTCTTAGAAAGCATGAAATTTCATTGCCATCATTACCCTGTGGTAGGAGATGTCTTTCCCTTATATAACTTTTACAGCCAAAAACTCTAACAGAAGGACTGAAATTGACAGTTACATTTTTGTAGCTAAAATACATGGAGTTTATTTGGAATAGTCTGTAAACAAATACTGCAAATACTTTTTGGGGGGCTGTGTTCAGGTGACAAATGAGAGTATGTCAGCTGTGAAGTCCTGAAATGCTGAGCAGATAGCTAACAGCTTACCTTATTCTCTAGGAGTCTGTGGTAAAACCAATTCTAATACTTTGTAGCTACACAAAAAGTCATACAGTGCAATTTGTCAAAGATCTCGTTGAATGTGTTCTTTGCTTATATGTGCCTCAAGAAATATTTTAGGGCAAATCCTTTTTTCTTACCCGTATTAAAATGCTGTAGTGATTTAACAGGTACCATTGTTTTCTTGGGTTTGAAGCCTGTTGATAGACATATACACTGTGTGTTTGTTGAACTTAACTGACACTGTTCCAACAATTTGCTCGTAATTGTCACTGAACATCAGAAACCTAATTCCATGGTAAGTGGACAAGGGTGTCAGACTTCTAAGCTTGCTTTATACTTTTGTAGTCTAATACTTGGAGGAATGTTTCCTGAAATCATGGAATATTGTTGCCTGCAGAGTGAAACTGAGGTTTGTGTGCTTGGGGTCAGATATTTTTATTGAAATAGTTGTTACTTTAAATAGTTAATGTGGCTTTAAGCTACAATAATAAGACCCCCTTGTTGAAGGGGCTTAGAAATGGTTGTTGGTGGCAGGATATATGACATGTTGACAGTAAAACACCAAAAAAAAGGGTAGTGCCTTTCTCTGAATACAATGTATGAGACATTGCTATGTTTAAGTAGGTCCTTAGGCAGGTCAAATCATGTCTTGTGTACAGAAAGCTCATGTGATATGATGGCATGTTTGGTGACACTTATAACACCCCCCCATTTGTGTTAAATCTAAGTATGAAAGTGCTCGAAGGAGGGAGTGGTATTCCTGTGAAAAGCTGGAAAACTCTTATGAAACTAACAAACGTTCAGATATCAAGCATTTCAGTAAAACTGCATGTGTTAATTGTGACTAAGAGAAAGAAAAGAAAATCCTTCCTGCTAAGAGCTATGCAGCAACAGCTTATCACCAGCAGCCTCCCACCCACAATAAAACAAAAAGCCTTTGGCTAGTGTCTCTAAACTTCTTGGAGAAACTTCTGACCTTGGCCTAGATGTATGAGTCATAGGACAGCAAGGAGGGAAGAGTGCCTTTTTCTTTTTTACCTTGCCTCAAATATCTGTTTCTTCTTCTGTTAGTGGAAAGCTTATGGACTCTGCATTGGAAAAATATGGGCATACTGTTGATGTAGGAAGCTGGCAAATGCTTCGAATGGTATAGGATTTATACGTAGGAATAAATGCTAATGGAACTTGTGAGCGTGAGTGTGTATCTAAGCAGTCTTGGAATGAAACTGAATTTAGGTGTTCACCTAGCTTCTGCTGTCTTTTTACTGAAGAATTTTTTTAGTAAACCAGGTACTTTCTACATAATTTTAACTTTAAGTTCAAGGCTACAGGCTACAAAGAAATTGTGTGTACTTTACTTGTAAAACTAATTAAGTTCAAGATACAGAAGTTCCTGTATTATACAATGTTTTGATTATGATCCGAAGTGGGAAAGTTACGAGTTTGGGCAACTCAAGGGCTAGCTTGATAAATCTTCAGTGGGCTCTGCTTACATGAAGTCTTAACACATGCTATTGTCTTGCTGATCACAAGATGCTTAAGTAGCGTTGGAGCAATGTGGGACGCTGGAATCTGCATAGCATGCTTTTTGTTTTGCTCAAAAAAGGAAAAGAACTGATTGCCCTAGGAAGTCTGTTCTAGAAGGAGGGTGTGGGGGGAAAAAAAGCAGCAGTGATACCTTTATAGCTACAACGTACAGCAGCCTCAGATGAAAATGTATGGCAGAAAATTTGAGTGTGTTTCCATTTTATTTTAGGCCTATGGTATGTCAGCTTTGCCCCTAAACTTGATTAAGGGAACTACCAGTGCAGCTTATGAACGTTTAGAGAACACTGAAGATATTGAAGAAGTGGAGCAACATTTACTAAGGATTAAATCAAAGGTATGATCTTCACTGTTCTTATATCCCTGAAGATTTTTTTCTTCCTTGCTTACTAGTTTACGGTCGTGCTGTAGAGTCTGTTCCAGAAAGACTAGGGAGTCAGAAGTGACTAGCTTGCAGTTATGAGTTATTTGGAAAGAAATCATGTTTGTGTAGTAACAATCAGATTTTCTTTCAGTCCTGTGGCAGCAGATGCTTCTGTCTAGCTAATAATGGTACTGATGAGCTAAACTCAAACTTCTCCAATTCTACTTGGCTATATGGAATAGATAATGTGTAGAAGTTAGGGTTATTAACCTCACTTAGTCTGCTGCCAGATATGGCATCCAATTTGTTGATACTTAATGTAGTTATCAACACTGGATACTTGCCACATGGAGCTGTCATGAGTTCAATTCATCAAACTATTAATCATATTTATGAGTAAATAACAGCCCCAGCTATTCTTACTTCCCAGTTAATGTACCTTGCTGTTATAAACAGTTTCTTTTATGAAAATCATACATATGGAGACCTCTGTTCTGAATCCTAAATGTCTCTAAGACGTTAATGCCATCTATAAACCCATGATGGTTTTGCAGCTCAGTGAAATGATGTGCTTAACCAAGGCGGACATTTTTAAAAATCTAAGAGTGAAAGCTGAAGGAGGTTAAGATTTCTTCTTTACGTACAAGATGCTAGGGATAATCTCCCACCCTTTTCCCTATTCATTTCAAGTAATGGCTTGACCAGTGTTCTCACAGGCCTGTGTGCTGGGAAAAGTGCATGAAGATGCATCACTTTCATCCTGGAAGTCCATCTATGATAGCAGCATTTAAACAGTTCCAACAGTTTTCCCTTGATACTTGGCGACTTCTACATAGTGTGGGCACCTTCAGTGTTCTAAAATTCTTGTTGCAGATTGAAACTTAGTTTCCCCCAGTTTAAAATGTAAAGTTGTAGTATGTACAGAGTACTACTACAATAAAGGCATCTGTATTACTGAGGTGAATGAGAAAAATGAGAAGTCCCTGAAAAACAGAGCATTACTTGCTATGGAAGACTATGCCAGATTATGAGAATTTGCAGGCAACTGGCCTTGTTGTTCAATCTAGCTAACAAATAGGATCAAAAAGTAGAAAGTCTTTAAATTACATCTGGCTTTATGTGACCAGTAATACTAAGTAATTTTCCTTGGTTTATGGATTATGGTCAGGATTCTGTCTCAGTCAGTCTGTAATGGAAATCTTAGTTCTTCACTTACATTTGCATGAAGTGGAAGAAAGTGCATGTAGCTGAGAGTCATGTACAGTCAAAACTAGAGGTATGAAAGTATGTTACTTGAGCCAATTAAAAGATTCAGTATGTACTATGGTCTTCTGCTATTAGTAAATACCTATGGCTTTATTTCATTAGTCTTAAATAAAGCAGGAACTTGGAGTTTGGGTGGTTTTCAAAGTCTTTTCCAAGTCACTGGGGTGCTATAGAGGATATGTGCTCCTGTTATAAGTACACTGTGATCTCCAATTGGAGTGTTCTATGTGCCTGGAATATCGTCTTAGCCTTGTAACACTTCTGAGAAATTTATCTGAAGTAGATTTACTTGAACTTTACTGGGTTTGAAGTGTTTCACTATTTACAGGAAGGACCTCTTAAAATAAGAGGAAAAAATGAATAGACAATTTCAAAAAATTAAAAATATAGTTTAGTACATCTACTATAAAAGAACTGTTTCTTACCCAAGGCTTATTTTCTAGCACCAATCTTACGAAAAATTTTGGTTCAGCTACTTAATGCCTGTTTTGTTGGTTTTGCTTATTGGTGTATAACTGAGACTTAAGGATGTGCTCAATTTACTGTGTGCAATGGTGCCTGCTTAGTATTTAGAGGCTCAGAATTAAAGTATGCTCTTAAAAAATTGTCGAACAATTATCTGACGCATGTCTTGTTTGGATTTCTGGAAGGTTAATTTTTAGGACACCGAGTCATTTTGCTTTTGCAAGCATAAGAAACATAGCTGAGTATTGTAGAGTGCTGGACAGAAAAATACAGATGCTAAACTTAATATATTGGCTTAGTCATGGAATTTGATTGGAAGGGATCTCTGCAAGTCATCAGGTGCTGCCCTCTGCACAAAGCAAGGCTTCGTTTCAGATTAGGGCAGGTTATTTCAGATTGCATTTGGGCCCTTTAAGTGTTTCTAGCCATGGAGACTGCCTGCCCTGTTAAAATTTTTGAAAAGCCTCATTGTGAAGAGTGTTTTATACTACTTTTTAGGAGTTCCCCTTGTTGGCAGCTTGTGACTTTTGCACTTCATCCTCCTGCTGTGCATAGAAACAGTGTGAAATCTATACCGCAGAGTCTTCGGAGCTTTTGTAACTCTGTAAACTAGGTATCGAGCCTATTTTCTTGATTCAGTGTGCCTTGATCTCATGCACTGTTTGTTGGTATCCAGTGCAGAGATGGTCGGCCTCTGGCATCAAGGGATAGACGGACTTTACAGCAACTAGAAGAGAGACTGAGGACACTTCGAAGAAGAGAGAGGCATCTGGAGTCTATTGAGAAAAGCTGGTGGACAAAGTTCTGCGAAGCTATCCGGCCTTTGAAGGTAAAACTTTTTTCACTTTTTGAGACTTAAATTGGAATAACTTCAAGCTTTCTTCTTCCCATGTAAATCGTAAGTCAAGTTTATCAATTACCATCCTGAATATCAACTGCTTTTTTAATTACTGTTATACTACATAATACTAGCCCTATAGCAAGCTCTGTTTGAGCTCTTGGAAAACCCTTTACTTTGCCTAAAATATGACTAGAATTAAAAAGGGGACTGTCCCAGCTGATCTACTATACTGCCAGTGCCATGGAGACCTGAATATCTTATCTTTTCTCAGGCATATCAAAACCGGAAGAAGGAAGAGTGCTGTATCTCTCAAGTAGCTTAGGTTAATCTAAATTACATGTAGGCAGCAGAAGTGAGAGATACTTTGAAGAGAATATGCATTTGGAATGAGCATCTTGCCAAGTAATTACTTGATCAGTAGTAAGCTAGCGGCATAGAACTTATGTCTTGATACTTAACCAGTGCAAAGGAGACTGTTACTGGGGCAAAGCTTTGATCTTGGTCTCTTTTTGATCTTGGGACTTTGATTGTAGTAGATATCTGGTTTTAAAAACCAGTACTTCTTTGGAACAGTGTTGCCATATAAAGTATTTTTTTGCCAACTAGATAGAAGAAGAAATTTTAGCATTACTTTAAACTTTGAAAAGCTGAGAGAGAGCCTATAAGCAATTTCCTCTTAACATCATTGCAACCGTTAATGCTGGGTACCAATGGAAATGGGCTGAAATTGCAATCGAATAAAAACTTTCAGTGTTAAATACTTGGTGGAAGTTATCTGTCTATGATACATTAGAAATCTAGACTTTGCCCTTTCGTTTGAAGGACAAGTATCACTAACTGCTTACTTTGACAGTTTAGGTGCTGCTTCTGATTCAAAATAGCCTTGTGTAGTTTTTTAACTTTTCACATTAGCCTTATATTTGAGAAAAGCATTGGCCTTATCTATTGTGTGTAGGACTTGGTTCATTGTGTTCTCATAGGGTAGTGTACAAATCATTAGTTATTCACAGATTATCACTTACAGTCAGGGTGCTATTCCAGTATCTCTTTGTTCTTGTGGTTTGAATGCTTTTTTTCTCTCAATAACTTTGACAGGCACTGTGAATTGTTGACTTAAATTCTAGACTAAAGAGGAATTTTTCCTGACATATTTTCACTTAGATGAGGGTTGTGCTATGAAGCATGTTACAAAACCTATTTACTTTGACTCTTCTTTGAGCTGCCCTGTGGAGGTGATAATATCCATGGCTTAATTAAAAATATCTTAACTCTTGCAGGACTGTTTTATTGTTGATTTAGTAGCATTTGAATTGTCTTTCCACTTACATAACTTGTCAATAGTGCAGTTAGTGGCTTACATGAAATGAAGGAAATCTTTTAATGTTTATGTAAATATTTGTGATCAATGTAGAAGTGCAGAAAATTGCTTTGCAACACTTCTGTCTTTAGTGGAACTTGTGTATTATTGTTCAACAATGTGGCTATTTCTCAGACTTGAAGAGCAATTTCATTTATTGTGAGGCAAGTACTAGATACGGGGAAAGCTATTTCTGCTTTGTTTGGTATGGTCAGGTTCATGGGAGTTGCAGACTCTTACTCAGTCTGACAGAACAGAATAACGTGTTCAGGCATAGCACTTCATCTTGGAGGTCTGTAAATGACAGTTAACACTGTAACTTAGTGTCCATATTCAGACTTCTATAATCATACTATCTTTGCTAAGTGTACTCCTGTATTCTTGCTTTAATTCTGTTGTTACTGCTAAATGTATGTTAGCATATGATCTGTTTCTAAACAAGCCAAAACTTTCTCTGAAGAATAAACTTTCTTTGTAATGGAGTGAACTATATTTTGAGAACAATTGTTTTACTCGAAGCTAAATCAAAGTTGTGTTGCTTTTGACTAAATTGCAAAATAACCTCTGGAAGATCTTGAGCAAGTGAGTAATGGTCAGCATGGCATTGACAAGTAATGTTCAACTTGTCTCATTTCTTTCTACAAAATGTAACCTTTTCTATAGATAGTAAGTCTACTGTTTCTCCTTTCTTTGTTATGGTTTCTGACACTTTCATCTGATATTCTCAGCAGCAAGAGAAATGTAGTGTACTCTAGGGATAGGTATAAAAACTTTTTAGAGAGAACCTTCAGAGCACATAGTTGTATTTGCCTAATATATGAACAAGACTCTAAGCCGTGGAAGCCTACTCAACAATGATTTAAGTTGGGAGTATTACATCAGTTCTTCACAAGGTACTTCAAAACAGTTTTGAGCTAACTGAACAGATGCCTAAGGTGAGTAATAATAAAATATTAAGTGCTCTTTTCGAGATTGAGACTGTGAACAGAGCATGCTTATGTGGCTTAACTTAAGCAGAGACTTAAAGACATTGGCATCAGTCTGAGTATATGGAAGCCACTACAAAGAGAACACTGTTCTCTTGATAAATGGAGTGGTACATTTGAACTCTATGAAGGGAGGGAGAAACTGTTCTTCTATCTAATGCTAAGTATAATGAGGACTTTGTATAGATGCATCAGTCTCTCTACCTGCCACTGCAGACCTTTGGAGAGGCATAGGGACAATTAACATTGTCTTGAGGATGAAGGACTAGGGTTTTCCTCTTCTTGTATTGGGATTTTGGTTACATTATTGTCTTAGTAGCACTTTGGAATTATCAGGCTTAGCTTGAATGAGATTTGGGAGCAGGAATAACAGACAAAATGTTCTCTGAGAAACTCAAGGATGGTGCAGGGCTCTTGGGAATGTTTAGGAAGTTGAAAGGAGGTACTGGGGAAAACTATAAGCAGAACATGAATAATGTCAAAAAAGACTTAAAAAATTGTGACTTATGTTCAGTATCTGTGGAAAAAATACATTAATCAGTTGGATATTTAAAAATTATTTGGCCTGACTTATTAAACTGAAATGTAATTCAGCTTTCCATTTTTACTATTGAGAAATGACTACATTGACACTTTGGTCTTGGTTCTTACTTAGCCATGTCTTTTCATCCAGTGTTCAAGTGTAGAAGAGAGCTTTAAATAAAACCAGTTCTTATGGCCTTCTGCTTTAGCTTCTTCCTTTCTCATCTGTGTAGAGACTTTTTATTAAGCTGCTGCCTGGAATGAGTTCCTTTAGAAGCTTAAGCTGTATTAATAGGTATTTCAACTCATTTGTTTTGTAATACCTGCAGTCTTGCATAAAAAAAAAAGTTCAGTTTTTTTTTTTTTGGCAGTTACTTGTATGCATACTGGCTTGTACAACAGATTGTAGAGTAGAAGAATCAAGTAGACACTTAGTGATCAAAGTAATGTAATTGTAAGGCAACATGTCTGAAACCTTTTCTGTAGTAAATGATTGAGTACAGGTGGGTATAGGGTCTGTTTTGTAGCTGAGGGGTATGAGGAAATGCCCTGCTAATGGGGTGGTTCAAACAGAGTATGGTTGCATTGAGGTCATGCTTTCAAAAGGACTAGGAAGTAGGGAATACGGTTGTCATATGCCGAAAGTTAGACTTCTCTTAATATAAATCAAGGGTTGGTTGCTTTTTTTAATGACCTTACTGAATTCCTCTGAGTGTTGTTTGGCTGAAACCCAGGCTTTTTGTTTTTGCCTGTTCTAGTACTAAAAGCTTTTCAGCATCAGTTGATGAATAGTTCTGCTATGAGAACAAGAGGGGTTTTTTTATTAAGATCTGTGCTTTACTCTGAAGTTGAACGTTGTACTCATGTTCTCAGGGGCTTGGATTCTTTCTCATTTATGATGCAACACAAAGGAAAACTTTGTAAATTTTCATGGCTAAGTTTATCTAGAATCTCTGATATTCTAGTTGGTTTAAAGCTTATGAACAGCACTACACTAGTTTCCCAATAAGAACATACATGACAGATTTGTCCTTTTGCTATAGGTGACAAGTAAAAGGCAACAGTGAGTGTGTAGCTCCTGCTGCAATGTTTCTCTAGTCTGTTATAGGCTTGACATGTGGCCAAGTGCTTTATAATAGACTACAGGCCAATCAACACAGCATTTCTAATTAGCTAAGATACAAGGAAAAATTAGGTAAGATCACAAAGATTCCTCCTGTCAAAAGCCTAAGTCAACTGCTCCTCTGAACGTGTGTACATGTAGGTTGATGTTAATTGCAAATCCTTTATGGTTCAGTAGTCTTAATGCTGGAAGTACAGGATGAACTAAGATGGAATGAAGGTCTTTAATATTAGCCTTCTCAGTCTTACATTTAATGGGACTGGAGTTGAAGTTAAAATGGGGAAAAATGGGATAATTGCTTTTTCAACCAATTATCTACTTATGAGAATGTCTTGCATCACTTCAGAAGATATACATATTCCAGAGGAGATATGGATACCTTCCTAGTAGCCATAGCTGGCAGAGTCTGAAGCTTGCATTACTTCATTAACTTATTGGTCTTAATTGTTTTTGAACATCTGTTTCCAGTACAGCTAATACCTAGTGGGACTTTGCTGTGGAGTGGTAAAATCTTATTATGCTTAAATGTGTGGAAATGCACAAGTTAATACTTACCTTGATATTAGTCCCTGAATCAATGCCTAATAAGGCCTATATAATTTGAGTTGGTTTATAAGCGATGTTCTAATATTGTTTGAGTTTGCAGATGGAAGCTTATCTTCAGAATTTAATGAACAATAACAGCATTGTAACTCTGACTATGAGCAGCTGTAATAAAGCTCTTAACCTTTTTGAGATGGCTGTGTGCCAAGTGTTAAGGTTAATAAAATAATTTAAACTGTGAAACTCCCTCATTCATGTCAAAGACCATACACTGTGTTCCTGTATCTAGACTTTGGAAATAAGTCTGTGTAGATTGTCTCAGGTCTAGCAATCATAAACCACCATTGTTTTGGGAAGTTCAGCATGCTTATCTGAGCACTTTCTGTGACTAGGATTTGTAGGAAAATACAGTGCACCTGTTGGAGCTGTAACTGAGTGGGTGCACTATCTGGGCTTGCTTTTGAATGGCATCCCCTAACCCACCTGCTACCCTCTCCTAAGAAAAGATTGTGAGGGAGAAGACCTACCAAAGTAGAGAATGATTTCCTGTCTAGCTTGTAGCCCAGGAAGAACAATAGTTGTTCTTACTGAGGACAGCTTGGAGGACAAAGTCCTTGACTTGTGCTCTATTAGGTAGGCATAATAAGCACTGTTAAAATAAAATTGTGTATTTCAGTTAAGATCTTAAGGAAGAACTTATTTCTCCAAATCTACTGGATTCTGTCAGTTCATAAAAGAACTGAAAAAAGTTAAACCATCGTTGAAAGAAGGTGGCTTCTTCCTCTACAGATGAAAATGAGAAGGAAATGGTGGAAAACAGAATGTACTTAAATGTATTATTTCCAGTTCTCTAAACTTACTGCTAAGTTGTTTGAGTTCTTGCTATTTAAAGTAGACTCAAGCTTTCCATGCTTTGACTGTTTGGGGCCTGAATTGTCTAGCTTTCAAAGGTCTGTGTTTGAGTTTAATCTAGCCCTTAAAACCTGTAAATTCTGAGTGCACAAACCTACTTAACTGCTGATCTAGTTGGTCTATAACATCTTCGTTTAGTGCTGGAAAACTTAGTTTAGTGTCTCGTACACCACCTTGGCTTTCTCAAGAAATTCTGTTCTCATTTTGCACATCAGGTGGTTCCATATTACTGTGCAAGAGGTTAAAAGAAAAGCCTACCATTGCTGATGTTAAAAACAAGAGCAGTATCTGATTAAATTATAGTGTTTTTTTAAAAAAAAAAAAAAATTATCTATGCTTATGACTTGCTGACTAATTAACCACAGCTGTTATACTTGTTTTGGTTTCAAATTCTTGACTAGGGTTTGTGCTCCAGAGGAAGATTGTGGGGCAGATGGCTTTCCTAGTGTAGCTAATTGAGTATAGAAGCTCTTCTAGAACCTTCTCCACAAGAGAGGCCTTTAGCAGTTGTGATACGGTTCTTTAATCACTTGTGGATAGATAGGGTTTTAGAAAAACAGAATTTAAGTAGCAGTTACCTAGATTTGCTTTGAACTCAAGTATTTTCCTTGCTACCTTAGTATTTACAAATATCTTTCTAGTCCATTCTCAAGTTTTCACATCACTTGAACGTTAAATTTCTAGGTGACTTAAACCTTTGAGTTAAAATACTTTTTGAAGTTGATTCCTGTAACTTGAACCTTGAAGATTGCATTAAAATACTCAATACTGATGAGCAACTGAGAGTACATGTAGGCAGAAGCAAGGGAAAAGGAAAGTAAACATAGTCACTTGAGTCTTACATCACTCAATCTGAGTGATTTGGTTTTTTGGTTTCTAGGTAGTGCTACAGAAGGGAGCTTTCACTTGGGAAAGGTGAGATGTTCCTTGTGAGCTGTGCACAGGTTCCCTCCTGTTGGAAGGTGAGCACATGGGCATGGCAGCTGAGAGAGACAAACTTTTGATTTCCCATAAGTAAACCCAAATGCATGCATATAGTTAAGAGTTTCCATGTTATATAGCAAGTACAGGCTGTGCCTTCCATTAAATGTTCATTTAATATAACAACTCAACTGTGTTCTTTGACTTACAGGTAGACTTGTGTATTGCAATATAGCATGTGATGCACTTTAACACTTGATTCTGATTGTAGTGTATTCACCAGCTGGAGAGGTAGTTCTCATCCTACGTGATCAACTTTTTAAACAGTTGCCATAAACCCTGTTTAGCAGAGTAAACATGTTGTTAGCACTTTTCTCTAGTGTTTACCCAAAAGTTACTGTTTCAAGTGTGATTGAGCTCAGAGGTGGTCCAACATCATTACTCCTCTACTGAAACTTAGCCAAGTCTTTACTTGTATCAACTGCAAGGGCTCTCAGTTAAATTGTAAAAAAATCTTTGCTTCCAGATTGTTTGGGGAGTATTCTTCATCATTGTGGCACTGCTCTTCACTGTTTCGCTGTTCTTGTCAAAGTAAGTACATTTCAGCATTTTTCTTAATCACTTAAATGACACCACTTCTGCTCTAACTAATTAGAGGTGATTTGCTTCAAGAGTCAGCCCACTTCTTTTTATGGCATGTTTCTGTAACTAGAGCTGCATTTCTTGTTTTAATAGTATATTTTCAAACTGAGCAAAGTGTGGTACAACAAATTCAAAGAAGGACATAGTTCAGCTTGATTGGCTGTATGCTGCTGAAACCAGCAGTAAGCATATATGTTAAGGAAGTTTATTTCAGATTACAGAAGTATTCTCATTGCTTGAATGAATCTTAATACTGGTAGGTACTTCTTGGGCTGGGTAGCAGGTGCTTAAATTCTTGCAGTAAATGATATATGTACTCCATTATGCTGTGCATTACGTTGTAATTGTTTCATGGTGTTGAAAGCACTATAGCCAGCTGCAAATATGGTGGATTTAAGTGAAGACTGACACTAACCAGAGGACTCAAATGCTGGCATTTTTAATATTTCAGACTGGGAAAAGAGGCTTTATGACCCAAACTAGGGAAAAGCTAAAATGCCAAAGAGGTGCAGAAATCAATATACCTTTTCAGAGAACAAGTGAAATTAATGTGATCCGACAAAGCATGTGTCTATTCAGATATGAAAAAGCTGTCAGTCTCTTGGCTTCCTTCATCTTTTTTTTTGAGCTGCCCTTTTAAATTAAATTGCAGACACAGCTCTGGGAGAACCATAGTACTTACCCTATTTTTCTTAACTAACGCAGTTTGGACAAAGCTCTACATTCGTCTGGCTTCGACTCAGGATTTATAATTTTGGGGACTAATCTCACCAATCCATTAAATATGCTGTTACCTGTTCTTCAAACAGTAAGTGAAAAAAATGGTGATATACATATGTAAGGATGCTCCTCTCTGTTTTCTGTTAAGCTGTCAAAAGACACTTCTTCCCAAGTAATTAATTAAAATTGGGTAGATGTGTCTTTTGTAAAAGCAAGGCAACTTCCTTGTTAACAGTCTTATAATTATTAGATACTAGTTTGAAAATCTTGGGTGGATGTAAGCCAGTTGCTGGAGGAACTGGTGGTGCTTGAAACTAACTTTCATCTGATGAGAACATAGTGGCAATGAAAAATGACATCACTTGTCGTTATCACAAACACAATAAAAGCAACTTTTGCCCATGCCCTACCTACCTTCTAGCTGTTTGTGTACTTCATAGTTTATCCTTAAGGAAATTCACATGTTGACTTTAATATATTTAGTGCATCTTGAAAGGTATATTACACTCTGTGCACTTACATATGTTATGATAATGCTTTAGTCTTTGAAACAAACCCTACATAAGAACAAAATTCTGTTGATTTAAGGTTAGAAGGCAACAAGGCCATGTGAATTTGGCAGTCCTGGGTAAGCTAAGAAAAAGAAAAGCCTTTATGTAAACTGGTGCTTTACTGTCCCCTATGGACTTCTTTCTGTATTGTTGGTATAAAGGGTTGGCACAATGCATTGCTTCCCCATGGTTTCTAAAACTACTGAACACCTAAGCTTTCAGCTTACTGAGAGAAGTGATGCTCAGCAGCAATAATATCTCAAGAAGTTATTAATTTAAATATAAAAAATCAAGTTTTTTTATGGAAAAAATGTTCAGAAGTATTTGCAAATAGAATGCCTCTAGAGTCCTAGAATGATTGTTGCCAGTGCAGACTTTATTTTAAATTTACTTTCATAATGGAATTACTTCTTGGCCTAAAAATGTATAGCACTTCAAAACTAAGGCCAGTTTTAAATTAAGAAAAATCGATTGCTTTCCCAAACAAATCGTGGAAGCTCTATTAGCAGCAAGCTATATTTGGAGCCAAGTATGTAAAACTTTTAAGTGGAAGGACTGTTACTACCTCAGATGCTATAATTAGAAACTACTTATTTTGCTCAAAGTGGGGGAAGAACTTGTTTTCTAGCTTGAATGTTTTCTTTTTAACTGCTTCTGTTCTTCTTGTTTTAGGTTTTTCCACTTGATTATATTCTTATTACAACTATTGTTATGTACTTTATCTTCACTTCAATGGCAGGGATTCGAAATATGGGTATATGGTTCTTCTGGATAAGGGTAAATATGACTTAAGATTTGAGTTTATAATAGTAAGATGTTTAATAAATACAGGATATTAAATTATTCAATATACCATTATTTATGTACTGATTTATAAATACTGAGTGTTGCATATGCTTAATGAGCGTTGGAAGCCTATTGTACTATTTTCACTGCTCTTGAAAGATACTGTTTTGCTAAGTTACCAGACCAAAACTGATGTTTTAGCTTGATAAGTAATACAGTCAACTGATTCTTAAAAATGTTTAATTCATGGCACATTGCCTTTTGACTTAGTTCTAAGTTAAAGCTATATATGATTCTGATATACTGGAAGTATTAGTTAATTTTATGGCCAAAATCTGAAATGTGGATGCAGTCTGTAGTGTAGTGCTTGACCTACTTTCTGGGTGGCAGGCAAGTTATCAACTTGATAAGAGCTAAAATAGTACAGTGATGGTATTACGTATCTAAATATGATGCAAATAATATATTACTGTATCTGGAAAAGCAGCTTTGTATACAATAGCATGCCATTCATGTTTATGATGCTTGGTTAAATATTCCCCTGCTTCTCTGCCTGCTTTCCCTTTATTACTGCAAAGTTGTTTTGTGTGGTGATAGCACAAGACCGAACAATGACACTGAGTCCTTGCAATGAGTTGTGAGATTTTTGGTGTTCCATCATTTCATCTTCAGCTGCCAACTTCTTTGCCTGAATATAATACTCAGGTTGAACCTTTGGGGTTTACGAATAGAGTGGTATCTAGAAGGTAACAACAAGGTATATTGTCCCCTGCAGTGGAAAGTGGAAAAGATGCCACCATATGGTCTGCAAGTTTTCTCAGAGCCTGGGAATGCTTTCTAAGAACTCACTCCTTTGTTTTTAGATCTCATTAGAGGTGTAGTAAAATGTGACACTTCACCTTGACTGAAGGACACAACGTTGTTTGACAAACACAGTCTCTTATCAGTGATAGGCAATGCTGTTTAAATCTTGCTACTAAATGATGGCTTATAAATGTTCAGGGTCATTAACAGTAATAACTCATTTGGGTAAATGGCTATGCTTTGAAAGTCAGGTAAATGCACCTGAAAAACTGCTTTGATTCATTTGAATGAAGTTGCCAGGGGATAATTTTAGCATCTTCCCACTTCTGTCAGTAGAATTAAAGCTGTTACTCAAATTAAACAGGGTCTTAAATGCTGTAGAAGAAAAAAACTTCATTACATTAATGCATATGTTCTCTTTTTTAGCTTTATAAAATTAGACGAGGAAAAACTCGACCTCAAGCACTCTTGTTTCTGTGCATGATACTTCTGTTGATAGTTCTTCATACAAGTTACATGATCTACAGTCTTGCACCTCAGTATGTAATGTATGGAAGCCAGAAATACCTGGTACAGGTGAGATGTAATGCTACTTAAAAAAAAAAAAAATCTTGCCCTTTTGTATCAAATGTACTATTCAGTGACTTTTCAAAGCAAGGCCCATTCTCAGTTTTGAAGACTCTTTTGTAGCTGTTTGATTTAGCTGGTAGTAGGTATCTTGGTAATACACAAGCCAGAAATGGGTTGTAGCACATATAACAACTTAATTCCTAGATTATCTTCAGACTGTGTGAAACTATGAGTATTGTTTTACTGTTTTTGATAATACATCAGCCAGCTTCCACTAGACTTTATACACTAAGTTGTTAAATGACTGCAGCAAGGATTAGTTTTGGTGTGTAAGGCTGTTTATAGGCTGAAAGCAATGTTGTTGTTCTGCAGCAGATAGTTTTTCTATTTGTGAGAAATGACAAGGATAACTTGGTAGAGGATAAAAATCAAAACAAAGCTGAGTATTTGCTGATTAATCACATTTCAGACACTTTGGACTGTCCAGCTTCATGAAACTCATTACTGTTCTTGTTCTATAAAATCTAATACAGAATTAAGTAGGTAATGCTTTTCTCTGCTTTTGTTGTTGCTATTTTGTGTACTCAAGGTTCTGGTTTTTTAAGTCTTTTATCCTCTCCACCTGAAGGCTTAATTCTTGTATTTCATCTTAGTTTGAGTGGAGGCTTGCATATTTATTGGGAGTTCAAAGTTACAGAACATAAGCATCCTGAGAAGTTTTGTGGACAGATGTTTACCAAGAGTTGGTATCGTGTGCAGGAGTAGCCTTTGTTAGATCTGATCTTGCAAACGTAAACTACTAGCAGTCATGAGACGGTTGTTTTTATCTAAGCACAACGAAGTCCAGATCCCTTGCTGTGCTACTTGGGGTTTAAGGATAAATTTTGTAAAGAAAAAAAAACACTGAACCAGAATGGCTGGGAGAAGAGAGTTAATGAGGCTGAAGTAACTGGATGCTGCTTTGGGTGTTTGGAATAGTTCTACTAATTTTCCAGAAGGCTGTGCCTCTGGGAGGGGAACACACTGCTTTAAAAGAAAAATTGCCTCCCAACCTTCTTCAGCTGGAAATACTTAGCAAAACATGTAACCTATCACTATTGATTCTTTCCATTTAAGCAGAGTAGTTGCAGAATACTTTGTGCAAAAGGATTACAAGGAGAATTTGCAGTAGTGTTAAATGTCCCAGAGAAGAGTAACATTATCAAATTTGCTGAGGGTGTGTGGTAGTTGTCTCTGCAGGAAGCTTAACATTCAGTAAGTGCTGCTTTTCTGCTGTTTTTTACCTCTAAATTGTGTGGTAGTGGGAGGCTGCTTATCCTGATATAATCCAAGCATAATAATAGAATCACTGTTAGTTATGAACTCAAGTCTCTGCAAAAGGCTTTTTTTAGTTTTTTGGGGGGGGCTTTTGTTGTAGACCGGTTGTGTGTCTCTACCGTGCAGAGCCATTGTTGATGGAAAAGTGGGAAGGACAATTTCATTAAGGATCATACCAAACTAGACTTTAAGCCTTTCAGTGACCTGAGAAAAGAATCCTTTCTGATAAAGCTTGTTGATAATGTGTAGGAGTGAAAAGAAAATAAAGACTATAGCTAGCAGTATATTTTGCTTTACCAAAAAAAGGCAATGTTTCACTAAAATAGAGTGTATATTGAGGGGAGCAGGAAGCTTGGAACTTAACACGCACTTGCATGTTAGCTGTTCATGACAAATATCTGAACATAAATATTGTTTGCAATGAAAAGAGAACAGACCACAGCAGGGAGCAGGATGTTACGTTATTCTAACAGTTATTGAGTTAAAGACTTGGTCAACACTGCAAGAAGGATTAGCTGGAATAGTTGAGTAGAGCTGCAACTTTTCATTTAAAGCATGAAAAAAAAAAAATGTTATGGTCAAGATAGCCATCCTAGGTTTTAGCTTCTTATGTCCTATTTCAAAGAGCAGTGTTTATAGTGCGTGAAGTAACTTGGGTAGAACTGGTTTTATTGTTAAAATAACATGAAGCATAAAGAGTATCCTGCTAAACTACATCTGGACTTCTCTGGCATACCAAGTGAATACAAGGTTTTCAGACAACATCCCGTCAAAGAGTCTTTCAGAATGTACCAGACACTTTCTGTATCTGACTGTGTGGATAACTGGGTGTTAAATTCTTGTATTTTGAAATGAGGAGAGATGGTGGCTGGGAACGAAGAGGAGCGACAGATTTTTCTGTGGATATTAACAATGAAGAGGCTCTTAAGAGTTACGAATTGGTTGTTATGGCACTGAGGAGTGGCAAGGAACATACACAGGAACTGGGCAAGTGAAATAAATTTTGTGCATGTGGCAAGCGTCTTGATGATGGAAGCTGTATGCATCAATTTGCTTAGAAAGTCAAGATATTTTTTTTTTTTTTTACCCAACCCTGTACAGAGCCAAGCAATAAATAAGCAATATCCCAAGTCAGCCTTGTGGATGAGTGGGCTGATAAGCACATGTCAGAATCCAGTGGCTCACAAAGACAGTGTGTAAAAGAAGCACGTCCCCCTTTTATTTGCTCTACAGTAATTCCCAGTCTCGTAACCTGTCAAATAATTTGTAACCAAACCCTGTAGTGATGCATTAGGCAGGTTAAAATCATGTTTGAATCTTGAACTGTTTCCTCTGAAGACTATTACTCTTGACAAGACCTTTTAACTTTGACATGCTGTCAACTTTTTTCCTGGTAATTGAATATGTGTAGAAAAATGGAGCTCTTCTTCTACTTGCTTTATTTACCTCTTTGACCATTGTGATGTTCAAAGCATGTATCCCAAATTAATCAAAAGTCTTTTCACCTATTATATCTGTAGGGAACTTTTGAAAGTTTCTTTTGGTCATAGTATCCTCACCAACGGAGGCCATGTGTAGAGTTTTGGTCAGCATGCATCACTCTTTCAACACTGAGGAACACTTGTTACAAAGGTTGCCTTGAGAAATGTGGCTGTTTAACAAATGGTTTCGAGTATCTATATAGACTTTGACACAACTAGAGTTCTGTCTGCATCCAGGCTTTCTTCTCAGCTAGGTAGTAAAAATATTGCCCATCCTTGATGTTTACTTGCTGTTTCTGTTTAATGAGGCCAAGTTGTTGAGGCTTTATTCTATTTTTCTGAAAGAAAGACCACTACTTGTTGATATTTCTACCTAGTAGACCTATAAGACTTGAGTGGCCTAGACAGGAATTAAAAGACCAGCATTTGCCATAGGTAACATGGATACTTTTCCCCAATTGAGGGCCATAGCTGAGCAGCAGCAGTTGCTTTCCTTCCTCAGCCTTCACATAAATAATTTGAAGGAGTAGAGCTAAGGTGCAGGACACTGCGAAAAGCTCTCATACTTTATAGAATCATAGAATTATCATAGAATAGATTCATAGAATTGTCAGGGTTGGAAGGCACCTGACAGACCATCTAGTTCCAACTGATGACCATTGGACTGGGATGGCTGATAAGGGCGAGTTGACCTTTATGTGAAAGAGCAGTGGGAATGTGGAGAGTCTTCCCTTGGGATGGTTAAACCAGATAGGTGCTGACAGATTAGGATTAGAGGGCAGATTGGCGTCGATGATGTCTGCTCTAGGCTGCCTGATCAGGAGAAGTGGCAAATAATCCCTTAAGACATCTGTAATTGATTTCATGTTCATAGTCCCTAGTCCTCACAGGAGATGTAAGCTACCCAGATACCTGGCTTGGAAAAGCAACACAGTTGAGCACAAGCAATCCAGGAGCCTTCTGGAGTGCACTGATGACAACTTCCTGACACAGGCAACTGAGGAGCTGAAATAGGGAGATGCTGTCTTGAACCTGGTGCTAAAAACAAGGAAGAAATGATTAAAGGCAGTCTTGGCTGTGGTGAGCATGAGGGGCTAAAAGCTCAGAATACAAAGAGGAGAGAATAAAGGAAGTAGTAGGATCACAACCCCAGACTCGGGAGAGCAGATTTTGACCTGTTCAGGGACCTGCTTGGAAGAGTTCTAGCATGTAAACACAATTATCTGCTGGCAAAAGTGTGATTTTTCTTTTTTTTAGCTCTAACTGGATGCAGTGGTACTGAACTATTGCTTAGTCTTACTAGAAATACTTATTTTTCAGTTAGTCCTTTAATAACTTCCAACTTATTTCTTTTTTGTCAGTTTTGTGTAAGACTACTCTTGCTTTGTTTAATATTTGTAGTTTCCTTCATGTAGTGCTACTTGTGTATTAAAGAGTATTAAATTTTAATGTTGGAAGTTCTAGCTACATAAAAGTGAAAAATGTTCAGATGATAGAATTAATGAGTTTACTACTCCTCTTGGTATGGCAGACAAGGTTCTTAATTTTTATTAGGAAGGGTTAATACTATGAAATGCTTTATATCACTGTTGGAATACATGTTTCCTTTTTGTGCTGTTGTGGAAAAAATAGAAAATGTTCAGTGGACCTTTATAAGATTTTATCATGTATAGGAGAGAAGAAAGGATTGCTAAGTAAAGTGAGACTGATGTTATGACTTCAAGGTACACCCCAGTGCCTTGGGAAGCATTTAGAGTTGAATCCAGATATTCCAGAAGCCTTAAATTACAGGAGTGTTCATGAAGAACAAGAATATCAGACCTGGAAAAGCATAGATATTATCAAAAGAGACCCTCAGGTCTAGCTATTGCTGCATGTTGTGTATTAAAATTTCTACTATTAAAAAAATCAATGAATAAATATAAGGAAGAGACAGTTTTGAAATGGCAAGATTTTGATTCTGTGCTTTTTGTATGCCCTTGTATAACTGTCCAATGTATAATACTGTTCTTTTGAAAGAAACACACTCTGACTGAGCAGGGTGAGCTGGAATACCTCCTGGAGAGGGACTACTGCTAAATGTACATGGAATAATTGACATTTCATGTCTTCTGTTCTGACCCTATTTGTTTCTGTCTACACATTGTCTTGTTACTTCAGGTTCCACTTTAGTTCCTGATTCCTGTGCCTAATCATACTAAGTTTGGATTAGTTTCTTCTAAGGCAGTAGTGGCCTCCAAGATTTCAGGTGTTTGCAGGAAACAAAGTTAACTGCTCATAGAAACTGCTGCTTTTTACAATGGACACCTGGTTGTTTCTTTTGAATGTTCAGAATCAAAGCTGAATTTAACTAATATTGATAAACTTTCTCAAGTTGTCAGCCACTTAGTTTTGTGGGCCATCTCATACTGATTTCTTGGAGATTTTAAGGCACATCTTTTATCAGCATGAGGGAGAAAAGGTGTTGACCTTTACTGATTTATATAGAGGCCTTCCTGTTTAGGAAATCACAAGGGTGAAAATAAGTACAGTAGACATGAGACTGTTTGAAGTGAATTAATGTGTGAAGAGAAATCCATGTAGTACAAAGGATTTGCGTTCCAACTGCTGAAATTATTCACTGACTATTCAAAAGTAAATGTGGTGCATGAAGAGTTAATGTTGTCTTTCAAGGCTGAGTTTTCCAGAGATTTGAGATATTTAAAGAATAATATTTTGGTTTTCAATAGTTCACTTCAGCACAATTTTTCTCCACTCTGGCTGTCTAAGTGTGTTGGACACTATTGTCTGGCTTATAGGCAAGAAGTAAACTGTATTAGGTTATCATGCAAGTCTGACATTTCCATGGTATCTTCACCACTGAAGTTCATTCCAAATTCATTTAATGCACAGTTGAAAGGGTTTTTTTTTAATGAGTCTTCAAAAAGCACACAAGCTATTATTTTTTTGTAAATGAAAGCATATTTAGAAATGTTCATTTTGTACCACTTAGAGCTTTTTCTGCATATAATGTTCAAAACCAATCTTAATCCTTTTGAATATTTCAAGAGGCTTGTCAAAGCCTTTTTTTATAAAACAATTTATTGGGAGATATGTTTCAGGGACTATTATTGTGTATGGAAGAACATTGCTGGTTGACAAGTGTACTAATTTTCCTTATTTATAATGTAGAGTAATAAGACAATTGATGGCCAGCAAAGGAATGTGACATTTGTGTCTAAGGACTGTGATGCAGATGCACCAGAAGGTAAGATAAATTAATTTCTTGTGTTTCCTATGTGATACATGCATGCTCAGCTGTGATAAGAAGCTCAGTCTTTGTGACTTTGATTTGCTTTAGTCTCATATTAAGCTTTTATGTATAGCTATGTCCAGGAAACAGCTTGCTTACAGCTTAAGTCATTTGAACAAATTACTGGTTTTAGAAACTGTGTGTAACAATGCATTCCCATGAACTTTAAAAATCTCCTGTTTACTTTAACGTGTGTAGAAGTCCTTAAAAATAAATCCTAGCTGGTGAGTAGTTCAGCATCCAAGTGTCACTTCAGTGTATGTTTATCATGCAAACAGACAGAGAAGTATTCCATTAAATTTTGTACCGTACTCAGGAAAAATTAGGATCTGAATTTCTTGATACAGCTTCACAGATGGAAAATTCTGCCATTTTTATGAAGGTGTAAATGTGGGCTGTTCCATGAGCAATAATACAAGTGGAAATAGACATCTTAGGCTGTTTTCCTTTAATCCTTTTAATTTATGTTTCCAGTATAATTTTTGCTCATCTGTGTTATTAACCATCCCTTTCTGCCCAGTTACTTGGGCGCAGGACGTATTGTGGATTTTCTGAAGCTGTGAATAGTGACTAGCAAGCAGATGGATAATTGTGGAGCTTTCCTTGACTATCCATCTAGGCAGCCCTTAATGTTGAACTTTTGAGAGAGAATGGTAACAGTCTTTGGCTAAAGCTGTTTTAGTCTGGCTACAACAGAAAACCAAGCTAAATGCAGTCATGCTGGATTTGTTTCTTTACATAACTTACCCCTTCCTTTCCCTTTTTGTATATAAACAATTTTGGAGGGTTTGAATTGCCCTAGCCATTGTAATACTGATTCTGCTCTTTAAGGTGACCATTGGTTTTATTGATTGCTTTGGTGTCTCATTAAAAAAATTGATCTAGGCAAAAGATTTATGGCCTTCAGAATAGTTCAAATTTTTTTCAGGCTGAAGCTCTCAATTGTTCTTGCTCTGGCAAACTTTCAGCTCCTACTTTTTTACAAATAGGAGTTGAATTGTGTATGCATTTATATACTTAGAAAAAGGCTTGACAGTGTTTAATTGATAGAAAAGATAGTTTTCCTGTGTTGTCATTTTATTATCAGTATTCTCTACTGAATTCTGACTGTTTCTAGAACAGTCTTAGTAGAAAACTCAGGTTTTCTTCCTACTTGTGTTATTGGGAAAGGTATTTAATTTTCAACAGTTTTTCTTCTAGCATAGGTAACTACACCATTAGTTTTTGTTCCCAGTCCATCAGGGTGTGGTCTTTTTTTGCTGGGCGATTTCCCTGAACTTAAACTCATCTTCAAATCTAGTATGTAGTTGTCAGTCTTATTCCTGGTGGTTCATATAATTTCGAAAGGGGGATGGATTTTTTTATCTTATCTCCCCCATACTTCAAATCATTAATCTATCTTTATTTTTGATGGCTATTTTTAGGCTTTAACAAATGTAATTGTTCAATTCATATTTAAACTGCTGTATTTTCATGATTAAAAAGGGAAACTTAGAATCTGACTAGAAAATTAGAAGAGCAAAATCTCTCATCTTTCAAAGTGAATCACTTCAAGCAGGTACTGTAGACCTTTGTTTCATCCTAGCTAGTATTTGCTAGGAGAATATACTTAGCTCTAAGCTTGTTAGTCTTGACTTTTCTGGGAGAAATTCAAATAGCCTGATTTCCTCACACTTTATTTCTTAATCATTGGAATTTGGGTTAGGCTGAAACTTCCTAAATTCCACTTGTGCTTGATGATAGTGACTACTTCAGATACTTTGCATGAGTTGTTTTTTTTTTTTTTTCCTAATTTGCTCTCATTAGTGGGAACACAATATAGCTGATGCTTAAAACTGGTGTTCTGATGGTTAACAGAACAGTTGACCTGTAAGTGATGGCTTCAGTTTGCCATCAACATGTGGTCTTGCACTGATAATCTTGAGCCTTTTTCTCCTTTCTTAGTAGGAAAGAGGTGAAGGTTGTTGTCCTACTCTAGGCTACTATAAGTAAATGATGGATGGATAGTTCTTAAATGTGGACATTAACGTGATCAAAAGGCTATAGTGTTGTTCTGTTAACTACTGATACAATCAACCCATTCAAGTGTTTTTATAAATGAAAGAAATTTGTTCTGCAGTGCTCAACTTCTGAGAAGAAAGTTGCCTCAGTGAAAACACTTTATTCACTGTTTCTTCAAGTGTATTTCACAAAGTGGAAGTGTAATGCTTGCCTTGGAATATCTGCCATTTTTAATACCTGATAATGAAAACCAATCAAAAAAATTTGTTGTAGATGCTTCTTATTCCATCTGATCACAGGGCATGAGTTGGCAAGTGAAACTTCCTTTGACTTGTGGCTTTTATTGACTGCTCTGCTGCTAGGGTTTTATCTTATATAAACCACTGAACTGGAACTAAATGGAAATATTGATTTTTCTTAGCACCTTTTTGTTTTATTTCAAGTGAATTAATTCTAACAGGTGTCTTGCCTTAAAGCCAACTATGACCTTTTAATGGCTATGCTGATGGTGCAGATTGCTGTAATCTTATCTATCTTATTGAATACTCAGGTGTTGTAGGTGTGATCTCTACTTACTGTAATTAAGTATATTTTTTTCTGAGATGGTAGAATAGTCCTGATCTGATACCAACTAATACTTTCAAAAACTTCAGTGCTGTTAAAACTTTGGCTTTAATAGGCAGTATTATCCATGTATGTTTCAAACCAGTGTTTAGCTTGATCAAAAGGACAATTACGCTTTCTGGAGAAACATAAAGCAGTTAAAATACAATCTTATCAAACCCACAACCCTAAATATTCATGCATAACTATACAATTTATGGGGTTTTAGCTTTGTATTGTCTGGTTTCATGCAGCAAAGCTTGACTCTATTTACTGCTGTTATGCAGGAGGTGAATCTACTTTATACTGAATACCAAAGGCCATAATAACATGAAACAAATATGACAGAAGCCAAAAAGTGATAGAGCAGGCTACATCTTATAACTTAATAAAGTACCTTTTCTTAATTACATTTAAGCACCTTACACAAAAGGCTTGTGTTCTGGTTACAATAGACTTTTTTAAAGCTTTTGAAATATTTTGGAGCAGCAAATTTAATATCTTGTATGCAAAACAAGCATTAGTTTTCAGTATTTAATACAATTGGGTGAAGACTATAAGATTGTTTTCAAGGACTAATGCCAGCTGAACTGTGGGGTCCGCAGTTGAGTTAATCATAAGGTCAAGCAAAAGAGTTAAAGTATGTGTTTAAAACGACTGCAGCTAGACTAATGTATTGAAAACTTGGTATAGGTTTAGCTAAACAGGTTAATGAGGTTTAATGTAAATGAGCAATGATTCATCTGCAAGCCTGTATACAAGACTTCTCCCAACCTTAATTATGAGGTCTAATAAACACTGTTTGCTTCTTTCTAGACTAGAAAACCATGAGAGTCATTTCTTAAGCACCATTCACTTTAAACGCATAATATGCTATGGATCTCCCTTGGATTCTCCCACTTCCTTAACTGGGGAAATGAGCCTTACCCAAGGCCTGCTAAATGCTGGCTACAGTATCTGCTGGGCCTTCTGCATAGACCTGCGCTGACACCAATTGCATGTAAAGTGGGAAAGAAAGAAGTTGTTTCCATTTCTAAGACTCTGAACTGAGCAGGACTTACAGTACTGATTAGATCTGTGCCTTCTTATAGGACTCTCTTGTCAGCTGGAAGTCCACAAGTGCAAGACCTCAGGCTTTATTTTAGCCTGAATAAAGATTTGATGTAGACATTGCTCAAGCTGAGAAGGTACCCCAAATACCATTGCCAAAACAGGAGTGTATTATTTGTTTCTCCTTCAAGAGAAATCCAGCAGGCCTGCTAAGTGGAAGCACAAGAAAGTTGCTTAGAACCTTAGATATTACTAATTTTTTATTTACTTCTTATGGTCATAGATTACCACTTCAAATGGGTGTTCTAAATGAATTAATTTACAAAGTTATAAAATGCTTCACAAAAAGCCTAAATGAGGATTTTAGTGAGGACTTTATCCAACTTGCTGTTACTTTACAGAATGACCTTATTAGTACTTTACCCTGAATTTCTACTTGAATTTCTCTATAACCACAAGAACTCAATGCAAATAAGCACAATGTGTGTTTGACTGCAGAAAGCCCTGTTTGGCAGCTGTAAATATTATTAATAGCTAAGAGTGCCATAAATCTTTTTCTGCAATGTGCTGTTTGTAGACATGCAGTTGTAAAGACATCAGTTCCTACACTTTTTTTTCCTACAACCCACCACTGTGGACAGATGAGAGTTGCTCTGAGCTACTCCAGTTTTTCTTCCAAGAGATTGTAACTGGAGAGAGAAGGCTGCGTTTCCTGAACCCTCTGAAATGTTAAATGGAGTTTAGCAGTGAAACAATTGCATCTTCTCTTCTTGGATCAACATCCTAGTTCTATTACCTGTTTGATTTAAGCCTAACAGTAAGGTGAGGTTCTCTGATATCAGTAACTTGGAATAACAGTTGAAGCTTCTTACAGAGGATTGAAGGATATGCACTCATTCTTAAAAGGAAGAAATGAAGCCCCTTTGAGTGAGAAGCCTACCAACACTTTGTCTACAAAACTGTCCTTTTAATAAGGACAGTTCTTTCACCAGAAGAAGGTATCATATTTGGCCTCTCTATGTAGCAGTGCTACTTCAGTCTTTGGGTAGCCTACTTCAATATTTAACTATACTGATGGTGAAGCTTCTTCTGTTATCCAAAAGGAATATTTCTTGCTCCAGCTCTTATCTATCCTCTTGTTGCTCTAGTCTAGGAAAAATCTCACCCTGTGTGTTGTAGGCCCCCACTAGAAGGCAGAGGTGTAGCAGTAAGGTGCCTGAAAACACCTTTGTTTCAAGCTGAACAAATGCATCTTCCCTGTATGCTATGTGCTCTAGCTGTTGCAGTGATCTGCTGCTGGACTTGCTCCAGTATGTCAATGCCTGTTTTTTACTGGGGAGGCCAAGATGGCACTTTTGCAGATGCAGTTCCAGTCAGAGTAGAAGGAAACAATCACTTCCCTGGACCTTTGGCTGTACTGCTGTTAGTGAAGCCTGGTATTCAGTTACATTTTTTTGAGTTGCAGATAAGCACTGTTAACTACATGTTCTGTTTATCTACAGGGACATAGGGTCACTTTCTACAAAGTTGCATTGTATCTGGTCAGCCATCAGCCTGCACTGTGGCATAGGGTCACTTTGTTCTCGGTGCAGGTTTTCTGTCGCTGTTAAACTGAGGACTATTTCTAGACATATGAAAAAAATAGGCTCCCTTTGAATCATACCACCTAGTGTATTTGGCCTCTGCTCCCCATTTCTCCTTGTCAAGGTCATTAATGAAGAGGTAAAACAAGTGTGCACCTCAGTACTGACTCCCAAAGAATAATGGTGTTTTTAATTTACGTGGTTCACAACCATTTGTAAATCTTCTCTAAAACTATTTCTGTCTATATGCTTTTGTGAAAGCTCACTATATTTTGAGATACAGAAAAGAGACTTCATTATCTGTAAATAAGTTCTCGTAATTTGAGTTCTTCAGTATGTGAAATTAGTTTTTAGGCTTTAAGATTCATTCTTATCAACAGATTTGTTTATCCTTGTAATTAATCTTACACTAACTAATTAAGCTTTCAGAAGAAGACTTGATTTGAAAATATTAGTACATTCAGATTAAGGATTTTCTAAATCACTAAACCAAACTTCATTAGTGGCCTTGTCATCCTTTGTTTAAACTTGTTTTGTCTTGAGTTCTGGCTGTTGCTTGGTTGGCTTTGTTGCTTTGTCAGCATTACCTGATATGGTGTATTCTTTAAGTGGTGGCCATTATGTATCAGAGCCTTGGTAGCTTTCCACATATACTTTTCTTTCAAATGGTCAAGATACGTCAGTAATATACACAGTGATTATTCTGGATAACAAGTAGTTACCCTCGGTCAGGTTATTCATTATAGCTTATAAATTATGTGGTGGAAGAATAAGTTGATTAAAAATGTCATGTTATGGCACCTAATCAGTAATACTTTAGTTAAGAAATAACTAAAATTTGGTTAGCTGAACTTTTGACGCATTCCATAGAAACATTTTCTCAAGGTCAAACTGTTCTAAAATATTTACCCTTTTCTATTTAATCCAACTACTGTAGAGAGCCATCTGAGAGTCTTTTAGCTGGTTTTTAATTCAAGTAACCAGCTGGAGAGCTGCAGATGGTGTTGACAATTCTATCTGCAATTATGAAGCATCTTCACTTTACTGCTGTTTCTTTCTTCATCAGAAACTTCACCTTTTCCATGGACATGTCATTCTAGTAAATGCAATGTTATGAGTGGTGTGCTACTACAATTTTTTTTCCTGTATTGTAGAGTAAGGACTTTTGACTGGTGTTAATGGGGTGTGGAGGGGTGGGAAGTCAGTTTTCCCTGCATAACTGAGATCTAGTCTGGGAAACCAAGAAGGATTAGTTCAGCCAAGTTCCTTCCTTGTCCTTTCACTGTCTGTTAGTGGAGAAGCATGCTTTCTCTAATTAAGGTGTTTTGCACTTTAATTGAATGTGCCTGCTTGTGTGTTGTATCCCTTGTGTCTAGTAGTTGTGAAATCCCAGTTGAACTTTGTCTGCTGATATTGTGTAATAGATTCCAGAAATTAGTCTGCCACATAAAGTACTATTTAACTTTGTATTTTAAATTATTTTCTTAACTTTATGAAGTATAAGTCATTGGAGAACTGTTGAAGGAATGGAGTTTTTCTTCTCTGTTTAGATCCAATCATTCTAGACACTGCAAGGATTTTATTGGCAAGGTTAAGTGGCAAATATTCCTGAAAAAGACCATTCCTTTATTACTAACTCTTCTCTGCAGGAAATAGTGAGCTATAATATGGGATATTGTTAAAGCAGCTTGTTATTTAAGGTGAAAGCTGAATCTTTAAAATATTTACCTTCCGAACTGATGATTGCCAGCTTGCTAGCTTGTTAGATGCTGCTGAAAGTTAAACTATATAGGCAGCAGCATATCACAACATTAGGGGGTGGAAAGTCTGTACTTCAGCTGCACCTAGGGGGTGTTTCTAAACCTGAGGTCAGAAGTGAGGGAAGAATTCTGGCCCTTGCTTACTTTCTCTAGTGTTCAAATTTGGGTTCCACTTTCTGTTCCAAAATGGGCTTTAGGTGGGGTTTGAAGCATAGTAAATGAGAAAAACAGGAGGTCATGTTATACCTTGGCATGAACTTGGTGCACCCCTCCTTGCACTGGAGACATTCCTCAGTTGGCTCACATGTCCTGCTGACTACCCTCTAACATGACCTCCTGTACATTAGAAGCTCAGTGTCCCATATTTTATGCTATTTTATATGTCCCTTTATACTACCTGTCTGCAGTCTTAAAAATGCCTCGACAAGTGATTCTTAGTTCTGTTAATCTACCTAATGGAGAATACTTGAGCAATATTTTTAGATCTGGCTGTAGTTATGGTGTTAGACGAATTCAGATTTAACTGTTGCTGTCAGGTCTGGGGTACAAATAAGCCCTTTACGTGGGTCTCAAAAGGCCCAGTATGTGGCAGGGCTTTTTTTTTTTTGTCTACATGACTCAACATTGTAATTGACTGTGGAAAAAATGTCTTTACCAGGATTGCATAAGTTTTGTAAAAAATGAAAGTACTGAAACGTGTGTTGAATACTTAATCTGCTTTGTATCTCCTCCTTATGGTTACAGATTGTCTAAAATGGGAAGGGACTAACTAGGATGTGTCAGAACAGGCAATAACTGACACATCTGTAGGAGAAATCACACCCAGTAGTAATGGGATTGCCTGTGTAACTCTTAACCTGGTGTTACCTGTCTTCACATTTGCTGACCCATAATAACAAATACCCCTCTTATATACCTTCTTGGTAGAGGAGAGTAAATGTGATTTAATGGAATGTAATCACTCTTCAGAGCTGAATACTCTCTAAAACTGTTGAATTATTATCCTATAAATTGAAATCAGCTGATTTTTAATTGTTCTATATTAATCAGTACTTTTGCTTTCCTTTTAGATCAGTGTATTGTTACTCGGACGTACCTCTTCCTTCATAAATTCTGGTTCTTCAGTGCTGCCTATTACTTTGGGAACTGGGCATTCATTACAGTAAGTACTTTGATTATGGATGTCACAAAATCAAGTTGGATTAACATTGAATAGTTGTTATTGACTCATTTGCATCACTGCACTGCCATTTCATCTTACATTTGTTGCCCTTCTGTGCCCCTTAATTGAATAATAGTAACTTTTTATTTTAAATTTGCAGGTCTTTTTAATTGGATTAATTGTTTCATGCTGCAAAGGCAAGAAATCGGTCATTGAAGGTGAAGTGGATGAAGATGATTCAGACATGAGTGATGATGAACTGTCTATTTACTACCACTGATAACATTTTGCCTTCAAGATGGAAAAATATAATTTAATGTTATGTTGAAAGTCATACCCGTGTGGAACTGTTATCCAAATAAGCATCCTTGCACCTGTAAAAATAGAGGAGATGTGTACTCAATTAAAGAAGTAAAAAAACAGAATATCACTTTTTGAGTATCACTGTTATATCATAACAAGTATTGAAGCTGGAATAATGTATTGAAAATATTGTTTTATGATGAAACAACATACATGTAATTTTCTGATGTATAATTTGATGAACTATTGTAACGATTTCATAATTCATGATGCTTTTCCATTAACTTGGGCTTTCTTTGAATACTTTCATGCCTAACTTGTAGGACTTTAATTCAAACTCATAAATAAAACTAGCTAAAAACTTGCAAAACTGGTGCAAATATTGCTAGAAAGATTTGGATGAGGTTTACACTTTCAGAGGGTGTGACTTAATTTTTGCTTTTAGTTTTGCTGGCCTTTCTGGGATTCCTATATAAAACTGGGACTAACAAGAGGCTGTCCTTAAAGTATGCCAAAATCATACACTTAAGTGGTGAGTTCCCAGCCTGTGAAGAGTATGTAATTTTCATACTGTTATCTCCACTGAGTTACCATGGGAATCTTCAGGTAACTATGAGGTGGATTTTGCTTTATTAGAGGAAATAGCTAGTGTAAATGACAATATTCAGCATTGTTGCAGTGTTTTAATACAGTTCAGTTCTAAAACTGCCATGTGCCTGACTTAGTAATAACCAATGGAATAATTAAAATGTGATTAGTCTTAACTTATTTTTCTCTTTAATGGAAATTGTCTAGTTTGAAGCTTTCTTTCAGTATTTAATGTAAATGTCAACTTGTTTATAAACCAGCATGTATATATCAACACAGTTCATAAATATTTTTGTCAGTCATATTGTCTTTGTAAAGTAATGTTATTTTAGTTACGTAGTTACTGAGTTATATTTGTAAGGCTGAAAAGTATCTTCAGATATCCTTTGACAGACTCTGAAAGAAAAGTGTTTACAAGTACAGGTTTTTAAACTTATAATGCTGCCTGAGGGAAATTACACTCTATGCAAGGACATGGAAGGGTAACTTAGGTAATCTTTTTTGTAAGACTAATTGATAAATAATTGTTGAAATGTAGGGCAATTAATGTCCTGCTTACTTGTATGCAAATTCTTAAAACTGACAGGTTTCTGTTCAGTTGCTTGAAACAGTCTGCCACTTCCTGCAGTATTTCAGAACACCAGGCTTCCAGGAACTTGTGTTTTAGTTTCAGTATTTCAAGAAGTCTTAGGTGAGTTGCTTAGTTAATGCATGGACACGGGGAATTGATATGTGGACTCTTACAGGAAGAAAGAAAACTGAATTCTTTTAACAAGCCTTCTGTGCCGACTGCTGCAATAATATACGTGTTTGTGTCAACCTAGAAGAGTGTCTGATGTTGTAGCTTGATCATAAGCAACAAATATGCTGTCAGGTCTGCTTGACTAATGGCAAACTGTTGGCTACCAAAGAGATATTTAAAAGGGTAGAAATGTATTCAATCAATGATAGCAGCTACTGAAATTTGGCTAGGCAATCTGAACTCCCTTTGACTAGAATTATCTGAACACTATTTAAACATGACCACTGGGGAAACTTGCAAGGAATTACTTTTAAGAAGTTCAAGTAAATCAAATGGAAGGTGGAACCATATGTTGACTGTCTGGAAGCTGCATCCAGAGGATGTCAAGAAGCTTGTGCTGCTTTGTGAGTGCCCTGGGGGAAAACTTACTTGAGCCAATTTAAATAAAATTAACTGCTCGGATTTTCTCCTTTATTGTGGTTTTTGTTCATGTCTCATCTTCAGCTTTAACTAGTAATTATCACTTCCTTCTTTGGGAGTATTGCATGAATATTTTTGCTAATATTTCTGGGTGTAAGATTGAGCTGTGATACACAATTTTGCAGGGTTGTATCCATTCTCACTGGGGAGATTGCTGCTTGTCTGGGGAAGATTGGCAGGGGGTTGTTGGTTTCAGACCATGTAGCTGCTTGCATATTTCATCCAGGCTTAGAGGTTGCTGGCCAAGACGCCTGGCTGGTTCCTAGGTATATGTTGTTATAGGTCTACCCTGTTTTCAGGCTTTTCATCATTTCCAGGTTCTTCCTAATCCAATCCTGTTTTCTGTCTATATAATCTATATGCAGAAATACAGTCATGTGCCTTTGAATTTGTTGCAGAGACCAATGAGCTCTTGTCCTTTTAACTGGTGCATTCCATAAGTACTACTTTTTTTTAATCCAAGTGTTAACCAGACATAAGAACAGCCTATTGCTTGTTGCAGATAGCAAGAAGCAGACTTCTGCATGAGAGCTCAAAAGCTGTTTCAGACATTTGCTGTCACACTGACAGTTATTTACTGCTTGTATGAATTTATAATCAGAATTACTCCTCACCTGCAACATTCTCACGTTTATTAGGAGCCCAATGAACCATTTAGCTTGACAGGGTTTTAGAAGATTTTTTGTATGCACTAATGTAATGAATAAACACTTTTAACTGTATTGTGCCTTTAAAATGAGCTAGAGGTTTTTGAAGTTCACTGAACTCACCAGCTGAATTTGTACATCCAGTATCGCCCAGTGAATAAAACAGTGGTGAAATTTTAAGATAGCCCTGGCTCGAGATACTTGGCTTTGATCAATGCTTGCAGAAACTTTCAGAAACACATCTTCCAGTATATTATTTCCTAATTGTCTCTTGCTCTATCTTCATTGTTTTACTTGTACGTATTTTATTGAATTACTTTTCTTCCACAAAGTTATCCCTGCTGTGGCAGCACTTTGTTGTAGTATGATAGAAATAATTCAAAAATTTAGCGTTTTGCTATGAAACTGTAGTCCAGAGTTTTTTTCATGTTTTGGAGCAAATTTGAACTTTCCATGTACAGTATTCTACACTGTAAGTAACCATCTGTCATCTTCCACTGAGTCTTCAGAGACCTCTTTTCTGGACTAAAGGCATCAGAATTGTTTCACTGTTTTGATTATATGAATGATACTCCAAATCCATCTCTGTAGTGTGAGCTTTCAGAACTTCTGAATAGGTGTAATGCTGTTGTCAGACCTGGCTTAAGTTAGGTTATGTTGTTGCTATACTTCCTAGTCAGCTTCTACCATGTTGGAGGCTCATGAACATTTAGAAACTAGTGAGCCATAAATCCTGCTGACACATCAAGCAGTGCCACTAGGAATGCTTAATAGAATTCAGCTGCAACACATGCCAAATTGGTCTTCATCTTGCTGCTACTTCTGTAGTGATTGGTAGTTTATCTGGAGTCACAAATCATAACTACAATAAAGGCTGTAATAGTCTGGTTTGTTTCTTAGCTGAAAACTGACAGTATGCTGCAGATGTTCTGCTGATAGTCAGAAAAAAGTGAAAAATCTTTCCTGGTAAAGAGTGCAAAGAAACATCTGCTGCCTTTTTTGTGTTTTTCTGCTTTGAATTCTACCTAGCATAGTTCCCCAGGGTTCAATACTGGGTCCAGTCTTATTCCACATATGTCATTGCCTTAGGATGAAAGGGACTCAGCACGTCTGCCAATGATACAAAACTGGGAGAAGCGGCTGGGACAACAGACGGGTGCACAACAGGCGGTTCGGCTGCCAGCCAGCAAGACCTGGTGAATCGGGTGGAGGGGAACCTAATGAAGTTCAACATGAGCTAGCATAGAGTACTTCACCCCTGGCGTAGAATAACCCCATGTACCAGTACAGATTAGGGGTTGACCTGCTGCAAAGCAGCTCCAAGGAGAAACATCTGAGATTCCTGGTGGACAAGTTACCTATGAGCCACTGATGTGATCTTTTGGCCAAGAAGACCAATGGTATCTTGAGGTGCATTAAGAAGTGTGACCAGCACGTCATGGAAGGTTCTCCTTTCCCCTCTACTCTGACCTGGTGAGGCCACATCTGGAGTACTCTGTCCAGTTCTGGGCTCTCCAGTTTGAGAGACAAGGAACTACTAGAGAGAGTCCAGCTGAGGACTACAAAGGTGATTAGGAGACTGGAACTTTCCTCTTATGAGGAAAGGCTGAGAGACCTGGGTCTGTTTAACCTGGAGAAGAGAAGACAGAGAGGGTCTATCAATACTTATAAATAAAGGTGGGTGTCAAGAGGATGAGGCCAGTCTTTTCAGTGGTGTCCGGTGGTAGGACAAGGGGCAAAATGCACAACCTAGAACACAGGGCCTTCCACCTACACATAAAGAAAAACTTCTTTAATTTGGAGGTAATGGAGCACTGGAACAGGGTGCCCTCAGCTTGTTGAGTCTCCTTCTCTGGAGACTTTCAAAACCTGCCTGGATGCCTTCCTGTGTAGCTGCTCTAGGTGAACCTGCTTTATCAGGGTGTTGGACTAGATGATCTCAAGAGCCTACCATTCTGTGATTCTTTTGGAATGGGCTGGTGAGGAAAACTTCAGTTTGTTGTAAAGAAAAGTATTTTCTTCTATTTTGGCATATGTGATCCTGAAAGTAAAAGTTTATTTGAGCATGAAAGTTAAGTTCTTAACAACAGACATATCTTTCAAGTGCATAGAGAAAGAATAAATATTACACTTATAAAATAGGAGCTTTGGAGGAATCCTCATTTTTTCCAACTATGAGGCATATACTTTGGGTTTTTTGCATTTATTTATCTTGAAGAAAAATTGATAGTTTTACAAATATTGTTGACTAGAGAAGTGTACCTTTTAAGTGTGCAAACACTGACAACAGGATTATTTTAGGGTAGGTTTTTCAAAAATGAGGTGTACAGCTCTGGGAGTTGGGATCCTAGGTGACTTGTAACATACTGCTTTGTGCTTAAAGTACTGGGGGAAATTATAAAACAGCCTGTTTCCCTTCAGAGTTCATGAATACATTTAAAAAATATATATAAAAAAAAAAATTAAACAATGCCCTGTTAACGAATGGAGTTTAAAATTTCAGCAGTTTTTGTGTATTTGAAGATATTCCTGAAAAATTAATACATGGCAATTGTTGTAGGACAGTTTTCAGGCTTGACTGGTCATGTCCCCAGTTCTCAGAAGGAGCAGAAAGGGTACAGTTGGTGGCTGAATTGCTTCTTTCCTTTGATGCAATAGTGTTAGTGTTAGCTTTGAGCATAGTGCTAGGAGACAATGACAGAACATTTTTGGTGGTTGTTTTTTTTTTATTTTTTTTTCTACATACGATTTTTAGCGTGTGACTTCTAGCCCTATGCTATTAAAAGTCTGTCCAAATGCTATCTGACAATATCCTGGAAGA